TATTAATTGTCATATCAAATATTCTCCCATTTTTCCACGCCAACATTCCATAATATTTTGGGCGCTGCTACACGTACAGGGGGGAGCGGGGGTGGGTTTTCTGCCAGGCTACTAATACAAGGGGGGGAGGAGTGCATTTTTTTTCCATTTTTTAAAAACATGTGGGGCCCGCCAGTGTGAGTAACCTGGCAGGCCCCTGTGAAAAATGCTCCTGTACTTGGAGCATTTTTCGAATATTTTTGACATTTTCCAAATCAATAGTTCAGAATGATTGAATAATTCCAAAATAGAAGAATGTTATGCTCAAAAGTAAAATTTAATTCTCGCTTTCTTTACTTTTTTAAATATGTTTTTTATAGTTTTTTTTTTCTTAATGGAAAAGCTTAATTTTGTAGAAAACTTGTTTTAACTTACTTTGTAGAATTATAACTTTTAAGTATAACCAAACAAGTTCACATAATTACCCATATATTTTCTCATAAAAACATTCTAACTACTTTTAATTAAGAATATTCAATCTCATTCATTTGTATGTTTCTTTCAACGATTTCATGAAGAGAGATGCTACATGTACAACTTTGGATTACAATAATAGATGACAACATTTCACAAGGAGGTGGGCCCAGCGATTAAAATATAATCGTGGGCCCCATCTCCTTGTGAGAGGTTGTTATCCATTGTTGTAACACAAAATTGTACAAGTAGAATTATTCTTTCATGAATCACGTTCACCGAGTTGTGTATGCTGCAGACTCAAATCATATAATCATGCTACATGTGTAATGATGGTAGACAAGATTTGTTGACAATCATGATTTGACATCATCACATTCATCAATTTCAAAATATTCTAGATTTTGACATAGTAAACATTGTGAACAAATCTCGTTAACCATCATTGTATAAGTAGATTAATTCCAAATCATATCAGGAATCAAATTAACTTTTTTTTTTTTTCTTTCAACCTCTGTCATTATCAGTTATCTCTATGCTTATTTTAATAATTATAAGTAAACAAAAATCAGAAAATTGAGATCCCCACATCCACGCATGCCTTCTGAGGTTTAAGCACGCGTGCATCAGTACTTTGTTGACCTAAAAACATGCAAAAGCTTATAATCCCAGTTTGGTACCGAGTAAAATCTAAATTTTAATTTAAATCAAAATCAATATTTCATTTCAAATTTTCAATCATATATTTTATGGATCACGCAACTTTTCAATCACACATTTTATCAATTTCTCTCAAAATTTAGTAAAAGTTTGATTTTAATTCTCACCAAACATGGGCTTAACATGTTTGCTAAGTTTAAATAGTAAATATTTTGTTCAAAGGTCAAAAAATAAGTTATGTTAAATATAATAACGAATAAAAAGTTATTTAAAGTGACTTTATCTATTAGTCTTTGTTTGATCTCATATTTTAAGATTAATTTTTCGTTAAATTTATTTCCAACAATACATTTTATGTAACTCAAAATTTTTGTCCACTTTTCAAGCATACGATTCATCAATTTTTATCAAAATCTATTAAAAATTTAACTAAACCAAACAGGGACTTGTTAAACTTTAGCCGAACATGTTAGATAATGTGTAGGACGATGAATAGTATTTGACTGAATATGGTCATCTCCAACCCTATACTAAAATTTGAGGTAAGTTTTACATCATTTTACGCCAAATCTTGTACCAAACTAAAAATCATTTTCAACCATTACACCAAATGAATAGTGTTTAATCATTTTCTTCTTTTTTTTTCTATTCTTAACAATTTATTTATTTAAAAAATTATTCTTTGTTTATTTTACAACTACATAAATTTCTAAATAAATAATAATGTTAAATTAACGAAAATAATAAATTCATTAACTATTACTTTTTACATTATTAAAATTTATAATAATAATAATAATAACAACAATTTATTGTATTAAAAAAATATATAGCACAAATGACACGAATAACTTTAATCAATTTATTTGGGAAATGAAAATAAAGGGTGAAATTTGATGAAATATATAGTTGAAATTGAGTTTGATGAAAAATAAGTTGTAGAAAGTGAGGGGCAAATACTTTATTTTACAAGAATATACTTTATTATTGTCATATTTAATATTACGTATCAAACATGTCTGAAAACGAGTTTAGTATGATAGTTCGAATAGCATGCAACAATTATTATAGAAGAAATGTGATTCTTTATTGTACCACCATCTTCAATTTAAATGTGCTTCGATAAGCTTAAAGCACGCTTTTGTCCTAATAAATTAGCTTGTGATTAATACAACTATGCCCTTAGTAAGTGTCAATGTCCAACATATATACGGTCGTCATACGTAACATGCGTATTCAGATTAAACGCTGCCGCCTCATACGTCATGCTATGGTATAATAGGTGGCATATACAAATGCTATATTACGTCACAATATTCAACTATCATTTTTTTGTTATTAAAAAATGAAATTGAATTGGTTCGATTAGAAAAAATAAAGAACTAAATACACGTGTCTTGTTCCTATACATGGGATGTGATACCTCATAATAATGTTATAAACTTCGATCGGAAAATCAATATTGAATTTGCAAAAAAGAGAAAAAAAAAATATCTAGTCGTAAGATAAAACTTGTCAATCGATCAATATAAAGGAGAACTGAGGAAATTGTAACGTGTAGTTCGGATCTCCCTCCTGTCTTTTTCTAAAGGAGAATCCTCGACATTTGTCATGTTACACTACTGTAGAACCTTAATATTGGGTTATTAATACTTTTTTTATTTTTTATTATTTATGAATATTTTTTAAGGAGATCCATTTGACAGTGCTTTTGAAAAGTCAATAGATGCTCTAAAACTAAAAAATTACTTTTGAATATTTTTGAATAATTTTAAAGATTAGCAGTACTTTTAAAAGAAGTTGACATGAATTTGCTTATACACGGATTTTTTTCTATAAGAAGCAGAAACAAAAGTAGAAGTCCAGTAAAACGGGCCCCTAGTTAATTCGACTTGTTTAATTCTTATGTATCGTGATTTTTTATTTTATTTTTCTCTTGGTTTTTTCATCTCCTAAGTTATGAAGAAGCATGGAATATGTGCAAATTCTACATTATAATTCGTTTGGATGTTTAGATACAGCCTCTTGATATCTTGACATAATTCGACATTTACATGGCAATGAATTACATTATTTAATAATAAGGTAAATGTTATATTGCCCTAGTAGTAAACAGCCAAATGGCTTAAATTTGACGATTTTATTAGAAGAAAGACAGGAATTTAGATAAATTCATTAGTGTTAGTTGAACGTACTATAACCACAAATAGATGGTGTTGGAAGTAAAATATCATAATTATAATATTTTTAACTTTACCACGGTCTCCATCAGGCAAGAGTGGGAAAATTTCGGCATTTTTGTTATTATCGTAAGCCATTCTTCGAGGAGAATCTAAACTTAACGTGTAGGAAGTGGTGAATCATGAATCGTTACAATATTTGATTGAGCAAGTCAAGAAAAACAAAAGATTTTTTTTTTTACATATATATGTTATTAGTATTCGACTCAAATGAGGAACAAGTGATACATCTCGTGTAAGTTTATATATGCGTTATGTGGAATAGACTCTCCTTCAGCTTGACAAGAACCTGAACGATGTCACAAGGAAGGCTATAGGGGCGAGCTTGAGTTGAATTAAATTTTTTTTTTTTTAATACTCGATTGATATGTAAAAAGAAAAAAAATTCCCATAATTTTTTTTTTCAAGGAAAAAAATTAATCTCAAATTTGTCAAACTGCCTTGAAGGATGTTTTTGATTAATTCTTGTGCTCGAGCAATGGCAGGGTCCGAGCCAGGTTTGGGAGTAGTTACTTCTCTCGTGATCATACGTTTCTCTAATCTCGATTTCCTACATATGTTTTGTATTTAAATATTTCATTGTGTGTTAATATTTACAATGGAAGCAAAAAACAAAATACGAAATGCGTGCACGAGACAAACTAATTAAAGGAAATAATAAGAATATCCAAGTGGCCCAAGGAAATTTTGTTCACTTATAATATTTATAACATATATGAAGTGCATCTACCAGACATGATAAAAAGATGCTTAATTAAAAAAAACCCAAGTTCCTAATTCTTAATTAAGAAACCCAGTTCATAATTACTTTAAAATAGTATTTATTCGAAAAATAATTTCTTTATGCCATTCTTGTCCCCCAAACAGGATATAGAAAAATAAATATAAAACATAAAATAAAAAAGAAACATAGGAAATTGACACCAGAAATGAGGTGACGAAGATATCTTAAAAAAAGCGTTGACTTATATTAGGTTTTCCATGCGTACAAATGTACAATTCTCGGAGCGTGACGGGTTTCCAAATTCCTTAGCAGTATTTTCATTTAATTAAAGCTGCTGACTTATAATGACTAAACAAATAAATCTTCCATAACAATTCAATAAATATTTAATTATTAAAAATTTACTTTTGAATATGTTTGAATAATTTTCTGAAAGTATTTTGTCACTTTAAAAGATCTTTTACATGAGATGACCTAAAGTTTCTAAGCAAATTCTTCCCAAAAAAATCCTGCCAAACGAACCCTTTATCCAATTTACACTGAATTACATATTTATGCAAATGCGATTCCATTATAAACTATTCTGACTTTTGAAAATCCCAAATGTTCTATTTTGACATCTCGATAATATAGTGAGAAGCCGCATTAATATATGAATTTATATATATAGCTTAACTGTCTTTATGCAACTAATCGGCATGCTGTGCCTGTATGTGAATGAAACTACTAGGCACGCGTATCTATAATATATAAACTGTTCGACCGACCATTTGACTCTAATATTTGTTGTAGAGAGTTAGATGAATTCTTCATATTTCTTTCTCCAGCCACGCCTGGAAATGGAGATTAATCCCTCCACTAGTCTTCAAAACTCCAGCCAAATAATATGGGTTGATGATGAGCAATTAGGCCTGCAGGGCCATGCTGTCAAGTCCTACAGATGCACTTTCTGTAAAAGAGGGTTCTCCAGTGCACAAGCTTTAGGAGGCCACATGAATATTCATAGAAAAGATAGAGCAAAGCTCAAAGAATTCACAAGTGATCAAAATCTCCTTTCTTTGAACATCAAGAGAATGGATCCTACTGCTGATGATGATAGTCATCAAGAAATCTCGTCGAAAGCTTCTACTTTTCGCGATAGTCGAGAATATGATGATCAGAGAAGCTGTTCACCAGAAGTTGATCATATTATTATTCCTCCTGGAAATGATGGGTTTAATGATCTGCTGAAACTGCCTTTATTTGCCGAGTCTCCGTCGTTATGCGGTGGGAAAGAGGAGCACGGTGAAGCTATGAAATTGTGCCATGAGGATGGAACATCAGAGACTGATGAAGTGGACCTTGAGCTTCGGTTAGGGCCTGAACCTTATGAAGAACCAACAAAACCATAAGTGGAAATATTAATATAGTTCCTGCAGGTTTATTTCTCTCTGATAGTTCAAATACATATATTCACCTTTTGAAATGTAGTAATTATTGCCTAAAGAAAATAAAAATTCTACATCTAATGATTCAAGCTGCAGCTTCAGCCTTCAAGTGCAATAGGACCAGCTGATAGAAGATTATGATTAGTTCTTATGCAGAATCTTGCTTTTCCGTTTAATGTATAAACCTAACTCATTTTGAGATATACTTCATTACAAAGGTGTTAATTCATTATCCAATCCTCAATTCTTAACATTGTAGCAGAGTTCACATTCGCTTCGATCCAATGAAGTGGTATCAGATTTTAGGATGTGTTTGATTTGCTTTATTTTACATAAAAATTATCATTTTTTAAATCAAAGTTCTTATTTTTAGGGTGTTTGATTGACCCTTTTTCCTGGAAAATATTTTTCAAAAGTTAGTTACATGATCATATTTTCTTAAAAAGTAAGGAAAACATTTTCTTTGGGGGTATGTAGATTTTTATTTTCCACACAATTCATTCTCCTTCTTTCTCATCTATCCCTCTCTTTCGTCTATCCACCAATGAGAGATAGATAAGTATAATTTTTTTGGTAAAAAATTAAACCAATAAAGCACATTTAATTAATAATTTTCACGTAAATAATTTCTAGCCTGGAACTTAATTTCTTTTCACGCAGTACTCGCAATCAAACACACCCTTATATTTATTATGATAACTCAAAGTAATGCGGTTCATCTTTTGCCTTGAAATGTCAAGGAAAGAATGGCGAAGGTTAAAAGAAGCTTGATGAGAAATTTTGTGTTGGCGTATAAAGGTGAAGACCAGGTGAAAGAATTAAGAATACTATTCACAAACTTTAAGGGCAGAATTTGAAAAATTGGAGATGAAATAGTGAATATCTTTTAAAATATTTAGAAGATGAATTCAGATGTGAATCAAATGCTTAAATGGAGAAATTTAAGAGACTCAAAGAATTACTGAAAATAAAATGTGAGTCTATTGTGGTTTTTATGGAAGAATTTAAAGATCGCTATTTTTCGAAAGATTTGTACGGGAGTTTCCAAGTTCGTGAATTTCTTATTAATATGCGAAATTCTCTAAGTTTCAAAACCCTAAAATCTCAAATTTATTTCAATTTTTTGTTAAAATTAATTAGGGGCAAGTGATTATTGGAGAATTTAGATATTATAAAATTTAGGCCCTGCTTGATCTTTACTATTATTTTTCAAGTTTCAACTTTTTTTTTTTGTTTGATAGCCAAAATTTTCTTGGCAAAACATTTCCCCCCAACCCCTCACGTGACCCATTTTTCCAGGTTTTCATTTTCATTGAATTGGTTTTCCCACCACTTTGGTGGGAAAATGGTTTTTCAATTTTTTTTCAATGGAAACAAATTCTATCCCAATTTTCATGGAAAATAAAGTCAAACGAACACTAAAAGATCCAAAATTTCAATATTTTCCACTGAAAAATTATACTAGTCAAACACAATTAATTGACAATTCCCGGTAAAACAATTCTTGGCAATTCAATTCCCCGAAATTCATTTTCTTTCTACTTAAATTCCACTCTTGCAATCAAAAGGACCCTTAGGGTATTGACGATATAGCATTAGAACTAAGTTGGAAAAAAATGAGAGGATTTTTAGAAAGTTATCTAATAGGGGTGGTTAATGTTCTCTTAAATTTTGCAAGTGCACGGTTTCATAGATAAGTTAAAAATAGTGAGTTGAGTATAATTTTCAAAAAGATTTTGGATCTAGCTTTTAAATTAACTCGGCCAAACTTAAACCGAACCAAATCATATTGGTTTATTTTGATTTGTTCCTAATGATATCTAGTGTGTTAGTATTTCGAATTCACATATATTTTTCACATAATCTTTGATTCTTGTAATTGATAATACTTGAATGAATTTGATGTTCAATATTCCTAATTTATTTAATAATCTCTCTCAATTTTAATTAAATCGATTTTCATATATGATAATACAAGATATCTATAAAATGTATGCTTGTGTAAAAGATGGATGAAAAACTAGAATATTTAATCAAAATCACACAAAACATAGCGATGTATCTCTATCACATATCGAACTTTAAAATGATTGCTACAATTTGCTAAGACTTATTTTTGACCTCTTGGAAACAATTCAATTATTTCAACTATTCAAATCAAACAAATTTAATCTAAAAAATGAGAATTTAAATATTTTAAGTAAAAAAGTTACTTATTTTAAAAGTAGTATATTATTTTATTATCAAAATAATTTACTCATTCGATGAAAACATCTTTACAATTAATTACTTATACGTAAACTTTTAAGCATGTCCAAACAGCGCTACTTCACCCGGGATTATAATGAGTAAAGGAAATTAGAAGACAGTATTCGTTTGAAATTTGGAATCTCTTCCAACGAACTCGATTTATATCTTCTTGCTTCCAACCCAACATGTAACGCCCCTAGATCTCAATTCCATTCGTTCCTTGACTTAACAGCAGATGGGGACTTTGGATGGCCAAGAGAACCCTAAGTTTAAAATCTTATTACAGAAAACTCATACTTTTTAAATCTTAGCCAAACTTAGAAATTTGCCAAAATAATTCCTTTAAAAAGGTTGTCAAAATTCAAATATTGCAATCTCAACGTCTTTCACTCAAGAAGTACTTAAAATGATATATCAAAATCTAGCATTTCAATAATCTTTGAAATATTTTATCTCAAATTATACACAACAAACAAAATATTGCAATGTAGGTGACAAATTATTAAATAGAAAGTTGCAAATAATTCATTTGAAATCTTTCAAAAGGAAATAAAATAAAGGGAATAATACATAAATCAGGTTTTTAAGTATCACAATTTCAAAATTAACGTTAGAGGTTTTAAATTTCAAAAATCAGGTTTTCATTAAAATTTATTTATAAATTAATTATATATTTTATGAATAAATATATAAATGTCACAGATCTATGTAATTTTGTCACAATTCAAAAATTTTAAGGTTACAATTCAAATTATAGGTTATTCGTTCATCGGTTACAAATTAAAATTTTAAAAGTCACAATTTGTTCATCGGTCACAAATTACAAAATTTATAAGTCACACAACTTATTTTATGGTCACAAAACAACACACTATAGGTCGCAAATTACTTATATTGGTCACAAATCAATAAATTTGTAGGTCACACAATATTTATTAGTTACAATTTATTCTTTATTGGTCAACCGCGGCCTAAATCAAGAGCTTAAAACCTATTTTCGACTAAAAAAAATTATCTTCTCCATCTCTAAATTAAGAGAGTAATGTTATTCATCCCTAGTGGAGGATGAAAACACAGTTTATGTGTCATTAAATGATATGTTAAATTAAATGTGAAATTGAATGACTTATTTAATTTCACCTATCATTTAATGTCACATTATCGCTACATAGACTGTGTTTTCATTCCCAGTGGGGATGAATAGTATTATTCAAATCAAAATTATGACCTACAATTAGCCTAATTAATCTCATATCTACAGGAGACATGTTACCACATCACCTATGGACAACATATCTCTTGTCCATAGTGGGTGAGACATCAGTTTTACTTGTTCGTATGGGTGAAAAGTCGATAAAAATTGTGATTCTCATGAAATATATGATTAAAATTAATGATTAATTTTGACTTAAACATTTATCAACTTTTTAAGTTACATCAAAGAGGGGCTTAGCGTTCATTGGATTAGACTCATAATAATCTATAAAAGAGCTAAAGGTTTATGGTCTTACGAGATGTGACTAGAGAGATTCACAAGAAAAATTAAAATTTACATGATTATGACCGTTATTACAATTTTAGCCCAACTAGCACTATTTAAAGGATGAAAATTATAAGGGAACAATACATAAATCACATTTTTAAGTATTACCATTTCAAAATTAAGGTTAGAGATTTTAAATTTCAAAAATTATGTTTTCATTAAAATTTATTTATAAATAAATAATATATTTTATGAATAAATATATAAATGTCACAGATCTATGTAATTTGGTTACAATTCAAAAATTTTAAGGTCACAATTCAAAATTTTTATAGGTCACAGTTCGTTCATTGGTCACAAATTAAAATTTTAAAAGTTACAATTTGTTCATCGGTCACAAATCACAAAATTTATAAGTCACAACTTATTTTATGGTCATAAAACATCACACTATAGGTCACAGATTACTTGTATTGGTCACAAATTAATAAATTTGTAGGTCATACAGTATTTAATGATCACAATTTAGTCTTTATCGGTCGCACACCAACTAATTTATTGGTCACGATCAACAAATCATTTGTGACCACCACCAACACAACACCACCGTCGTCTCCGCCACCAACACCAACACCACAGAAACACACCACCGCCCCCAACACCAACACCACTTCCCAGCAACAAAATCACTGTTTCAAACATCGCAGTCTACGTTTTCACCACCACCACTACACCAAACCGTCAACAACACTAAAACCACCGCCACCGTTGTCGCCAAGCCACCCCTACCATTGCCTTCGCCGCTGCACCACCACCAAACACAACCTCATGACGCCACCGCCACCACCATAACCCACCACCGTACCACAATCATTGCGTTGTCGCCGTCGATCCATCACCAGATCTAACATAATCGCCGCTACCTAATCGTCGTGACGGCAACAAAAGATAGAGGAGAGCAGCAAGAGAGAGACGGGTTTGGGGAAAATGAAAAACACATCCAGCGAGAGAGAGAATCGGTGGCTGATGGCGGGTGGTCGGGGCGCTTGGTGGAGTTTGGAGCTGGGGTGATCAGATCAGGACCGGAACCCGAAGCGCCGGCACCGATAGTGATACACCCGGTAGAGAGAGGTTGGGGGAAAGAGAGAGAAAGAAGATATGGAAATAATTAGGGTTTAGTTAAGGTAGAAAATGGTGGGTTGAATATGTAGAATAATTCAATTTTTATAAT